ACTGCTTGGGAGAATTACTACGTTTCGGGTGGTCCCGCGCCCTCCACTACGATAGACACGGTCCCCGACACGACAACTCCTGTCGAAGAGCCTTCCTCTACTGAAGAAACTAGTGAGCCCTCCATACTGCCTGCAGGTGCACAGACTACCTCCAGCCCAACTGGGGAGGCTTCTATCCCCATTAATTCGTCAATTGAGCAGACGCCCGCGCCCGTACCTAGTGGAAGCCATGGAAATACAACCTCATCATCGCCATCTTCTTCATCTTCAACGATCTCCGATGTGCCAAGAGGCGCGGGCGCAGTCGTCACTCCCACTCGCCTCATCCTACTGGGACTCTTTGCGTCGTTAATAGCACTATAAGTTCGCCTCGCTCTTCAGGTCCATCCCGGTGTGATAACCTAGGCACGGGTCGTTACGAATAATACGTGTAAGTACGGGAAGAAGCCCATGCTTGATTATCTGTCACTTCTATGCACGATATACCTTTTCTGCCCTAGAAAGTGTAATATAATAGGAGGAAGATAGTATAAAGTACGCAAGGGAGAATTAGTTGTTCGCCTAATAATCTGTTAGCATTATGAAATAATAATAGATTGAACATCTGAAGTGTTTAGAGATATGGAGGTGGAAATATGGTTGAGATTGAGGCGGCATTGTCCGAAGCAAGACGGTTAGAAGCTCTCGAGCGTATTCGGTGGTTCTAGTAAATCAATATTACCGAGCGCGGACAGCTAGCACTAGACAAGGCAGTACCAGTGTCACAACAATGAGTCTCATAACACTAGTCCACGTAGGCGTTTAGAGATTTTCGCGCAACAGCAAGTGCCTATTAACACGACGGCGAGGTTCTTTCTCGTGTGCTATGATTGTCTAGCGTGCGTGTTGCCTAAGTACTTAGGTTTGACGGTACGCTACTCGGTGTAATAAAAGAGTTAAAACACAAGTACCAAGAAAGTGAAAAGGAAAAACAAGTAATTAACATACTTAACAATGATTTAAACGTATTTGAAATATATTTTTAATTGTTTTAAAATATATTATAAATTCTACCATGTAAGTATATATCTCTGCTCCTTTTAAGCAAACAAGCCGCTTTATGTGGTTCGAGTGAACTCATTGGTGGCTACGGAAATAAAAAACTAGGTCGCCAAGGAATTCACGCCCGAAGCGGCGGTCTTTTGAGTTGATGGTGGAAATGTCAGTGGCAACGATCTGTGAGTTGGTGACGGGAACGAGCCAATTTCGGGTTAAGGGGATGGAGCGGGCAGCATAGTTAGCTAGGGATCGCGACAATCACTCAGTTCTGCCTAAGCCAACTTCCTACCCAGAAACACAGTGGTTGCTATTGGCACCATAGATTCCTTGAAGAGTAGGTATAGAGGCCCCTAAGACTGGAGATATACGCCGTATAGGATAGGGACCTTTACGCGACTCCTACCCCCGCTAAATTAAAATGAGATGAGTGCTACCGTGCGTTTACGGTCGGTGAGCCTTATGATTGATGAAGGCCACCGAATGTTTGTCCGTCCCGTTTCCCGTTCTTGCGTCAATAGGCTCAGGCCGAGTTGACGGTCCTGTTTGTGTGTTTTTCGGGCGCGACTTCGAAGTGCACCGATGCTGTCAGCTTCTTCTCAGCACCACTATAGGGGCTTAGTGACGGTTAGAACTTCGAAATAGAGCCACCTGCAGAGTCTTACTACGCCACCGCTACTCACCTCCTTTCCACTGTCTGTTCGTAGTCATCAGGCAACGGCACAATGTTCTAATTGAAAGTCTATCTACATGAATTGGCTCAAATACACTACAGAAATACAATAGGGATAGAGAAACCAGCCTTATCCTATAAGAAGAGTTACAGGATTGGGCAGGTCTACCCGGGCAGTTAGTTAGGACCTCATCAGACTAACAATATTTGCTCCACCCTCTTCCCAACTGTTGTGCTCCAACGATCGATATGTTTACACCACCAATTCGAGAGGTACAGCGCCACGCTCAACAAGATAAAATAGCCCACAAGATAACCGTTCTGCCGGCCGAGCCGCTCAAAGAGCCTCGGCATGATCCAGAACCCAAGGCTGTGTAAGACGGGCCCGTGAACCAGATAGAACGAGAAGCTGATTTTGCCCATGTATTGCGGAACCCGACTCTCCAAGACCTGGCAGAGAAGAGGGCTGCGTAAGATGCATGGTAGGAGAATCAAAGCACCGATGGCCTGGTAAAACGACCAGCCAGCGAGCGCGGCGTAGTACCTCGGGATCAAGTAGGCGAGGAACGTGAAGCTTGGGGTGTACTCAGCAGCGGCGTCAGGGTACGAAAGGAGGTAAAGGGCTAAAATGAAGCCCATCCACCGTGCCAGCATACCTATAAAGCTTGATCGGCGTGACCCGACTCTATTTTTGTTCGCACTATTCGTAACAGGAGGTTGTAGAGTCATGTCGCCGGGGCGCGACGAGAGCCCGATATCCAGATCCGAAAGCAGAGTACCGCCCATGAAAGTAGCGACATCCCACCGCCCGAAGACCAGACTATAGGCAGAGAGAAATCCCGCCAGCGCGAGTCGCCACCTTGCTTTCAGAGCTGCTGTTCCCAATAGGAAGATGTAGATGATCATGGACCCGCGCAGTTCCATCGGGATCGTAAACGTGTGTGGGTCGTAGCGCGGATGATACGGGTTGAAGGTGAAACTATTGGCCCACTCGGCGTAGACCCGAGTGAAGTTTTGCAGAGCATCAGTCATGTTATCGTGTATTAGAGGATGCTCTTCCCACATCCCTCCGTACTCAACCCATGTTGCGGGAATGCCGTAGGTAATGTTTGTGCCATTAACAATATCTAATGGTGCGGGACCTTCATATGGTGGGATGTAAGCATGCTTTTCAAATCTGCTCAGTCGAGAAGTATCGTTCAAGACGCGCGCATATTTTTTCTCAAAGCGGTGTGCGTGGTAATACACGCTTGTAGGGCCGGCACCCTGCGATGTGGCGTTGATGCAGAGGCCTACGGTGGCATTACCCAAGGGCAAATGGTTCTGCCAGCCCATGTAGTCGATCAAGCCGGTGACCCCGGCGACGGCGACGGTGTTGTTATAACAGTGAGTGCCGATTGTGACATTGGTCACCGTGCCGTTGATGTAGACCGAATCGGGCCCTTTATAGATAGCCTGTTCGGATTTGAAAACGCCCACCTGGGCCAATAAAGCCACCAAGAACATACTGATGGTGGGAGGAATGTAGAGACGAAAGGCGCGTCTAAAGACGGCCGAAGCGAGACGCTGGTAAGCGGCCTCCAAGCGCTTCTGGTGTATCAGTCTCAGAACATGTCGACTAACGACATAGCCAGAGATGGCGAAGAATATAGCGACCATAGGGCGACCGCGCTGCCACAAGCATATTATTGGCAGCGAGGACCACTCCCGGTAGGGCTCAGGGGCTTGAGGCAGTATAGCCCCGTAACCCAACATGATAGAGGGTGTCCAAGGCCATAGGAAGTGATAGTTGAAAACCAGGAGGCACGCGATGCCGCGCAGTCCATCAAGGCATCTGATATTATCTCTGGCCAGCCTGTTGCGGGATGCCGAGGCTTCTTCTTCTCGGTTGCGGACATGATCGCCAGACCGGCGCTTCTCCTCGGGGGCGGAACGCCTCTTTCCCTTCGGCGAAGAGCCAAACCATGCCATGATGACGTGACGAGACTGCAAGCTCGGGCGATGCGACGACCTGCGTAGCACGCTCGGAGCTACAATCTCCAAGAGAAGAAGTATGCCAAAACCAAGTTCATACGACGACCCAGCCAGATGAAGACTCCCAAACTTATGCTGGCGTCAAATACACAGGATGATATATACTCATACCTGTGGTCGTTCTTGCTCGAAAAGATTGAGCGAAAGAAGTTTAGTCTCGTAAAAGCATCGGGGCAGTACGTAGTAAGATCAGGGGATCACACGTGCCTGGCCCGGTTTTAATCCCTGATCGGTAAGATTGGAGATGCTGATCAAGTCCCCTACCCCGTTCCGAACGAATTCCGCATATGATAATGCTTACCCACCGTTTGTGCATGCAAGAGGGGTGCAGCCCAAACAATTAGCACCCTATTCAGGCTCGGAGCAGTTCTATAATGGTGATGATACATGCTCACAAAACGAAGCCACCAATCGAAACACAACAAAACAGCAAGCCGGGGTCGCAAAACTAGTATACCGTTCTGCAACCATGTCTCTGTATCGACGGGAAGTCTTCGGGTTCGAGGACCCGAAATTGAGAAAACACCAAGAAGACTCTATCGACGAGCCGTCGCCCTCCGACCACGTTCGGATTCTTGAAGTGGAGAACACCGGCTTGCAGCAAGCAAGCTTTGAACGCCACTTACATGTACTCGAACAGGCTTTGCGTCCTTCGATTAATTATTAGATTTGCGAAAAATGGAATCGAAAAAACCTTAGGCGATATAAATAACAGAGAAAAGGAAATCGGTAGGAGTAGCACATCGCCATGATAAGTCATTAGAGAGCACTTCGTGCCGAGTGTTTAATTTTGCGTAAAGTTTATCAACTGCCGCGGCGGCAATTACAGGGGCTTCACAGTATACCCAGTTTCTGCATAATCTTGTAAGTAAGGTACAAGTATAAAATCTAGAAAGACAGTAAACGTTCTATAAGAGCGCTGTAATTTTCTACTACAGTCCTATTAAACTAGCTATTCTAGGCACTTAGGTAACTAAAGCTGGGTTTATATTGAAGTTCTAGTGTAAGGGAACAAAAAGCTATTTTAACAGCTACTTAAGCGCGGAAGGGATTTTTTAGGTAGTATAGGAAGCCCATGCGTAGTGTAGCAGCCGGCATGCAGGACAGTATACCTAGGTATTAATAACGCCTATATGGCTGCCACGTGCTGCCCCAGCCACTGTGCCATAAATGATATCTAAAGTTTGCAGATTTTAATTGCAGGTGTACAGCAAAATAACAGTAGAAAAAAGAGTACTTATAAATGAGATATATGAATTGTTTCTGGCCGGGATCGAACCGGCGATCTTCTGTGTTGCCGCGATGGCGACCCAAGGGTTGGTACTTGGATGATCCACCATTACTTTGTAAGACAGATGCCATAACCACTAGGCCACAGAAACGCGCATTGACCGTTTAATCGGTTTAAGGAGGCTATTATATCAATGCTTAACTTAGTTGTAAAAGCAAATAAAGTCATTATTATATAGGTATCATCTGTTGAGATTGGTTTTTTCTCCTCTCCTTTACTTTAAATGTATGAAGTTTGTTGGGTTAGGGCTTAGGGGAATTTGCTCTTACTAGGAGTATTGCAATTTACTAGATAATTTGAGCGAAGGGTTGGCCTAGGTGCATACATCATCGTGAGAGATACACATTCGCTAAGGTGAATTAACTAGAGAAACAAAGGAAGTTGACCAGCTTAGGAATATATCGCAACCCCTACTACAGTGGTGTATTAAGTAGTATAGGTAAGGCTGATTAAGGGGGCATAGGTACCAAGTGGTTGAGCTAACTTATATACGGAAATAAAAGGGGTTGGCTGGCACCAAGAACAAAGAAACTAACAAGAATAGGACTTGCGCGGATTCTTCTTAAATTGAATTATGTTATGTTGTTAATCAGTTCCGCATTCGATTAACTGGATTACCTATCTTAAGAGCCTAGGAAATGTAGGTTAAGGGTATCTCCTAATGACCTGCAGGGCTCACTTCACTATGTATATTGTAGACACCGAGAGGCCAAGTATCTGATTTGACTGCATTCTACCTAGGTAGCTTGGGTAGTGTTGTGGTATACCTTAATGTTACAGCTATGAAGTGACAGCCACAGGGCAGTGGCTATCTAGGTATCTTAGTACAACAAGTACCTAGATAAAAGGAGCTAGGAGGAATGGTGCCCTCTGCTACAGGTGTACTTCCAGGTTCAAGGTCTGGTTAACCAATAGAAGTGGTCTACTTGAAGAACAAAGTTTCTACTTACTTTTAGCTCGATGTTTTAAATGCTATGCTAGGCAGGCTATTAATTACCTGTAGGTTATATTTGTTGTCATTAACCGCCTAAGGATATTGCGCTTGTATTTAATCCCTCGAAATATTAATAGTACTAGTGATTATGTTGCTTGTTGCTCCAGGGCGCCTCAGAGTTTTATTGACTACAACTCACTCTAAGTTGGTTCCCCTCCATTGTCGTGTATACCTATGTTTGGAACCTTATCCAGTATTTCAACACACCCAGGTATAATATCAAGCGTTATTTCAGATACCGCCTAGACAGGTTTGCGTGCTACATATTTTCAGCTATATGCAAGTACCTTGGTATATGTAAATTTGTCTCTAGAGAAACCAATTTGTCAAGATAGGCACTTTCAGCGGCACTGTCTTATATGAGTACCTTAGTGTGCAAGGCAAACACCCAAGGTGCACCTTCCACTTTCACCCCTTCCTCGCGCAACATCTCAATTTTGTTTTGTTTCTTGTGCCCATTGGGCAGGTCGTATCCCACTAGCCCGCTTGTCACTCACCCACGCTCTTCCTTCATTGGTATCACAGACTCGGGTCCTTGTTTTGGTGTGGATAATGCACGTTTATCCTCGCAATCTTCCCAAGGATCTATGCACAGCAATGACGACAGATTCTGCTCTACATACGGCGGACCTTGACTTCCGCAATGAAGTCATCGACAAGCTCCTAGCTCCTGTTGACTGGGCCCAGCATCTGAAGGATTCATTGGGACAATTCCTCCGTGGCGTCACTGCAGATGTCAACCACAAGCATTTGGCTTACCATCTCTTCTGCATTGTATGAGACGTCTTTCTACAGCAAGGTGGCATTTGCTCCACGTACCCAGGAGTAGAGCTGATCTAAATAGGTTACTCTTTATATTTCTAAGCAGACCACTCTCGATGAGGAGCAGAAGTCTGTCATATGCCGAAGTATGTACTATCAGTACCTTTTGCCTGCTTCCTAGAGAATTCTGAGCTTTCTCCAGCCGTGTATCCATGAACTATGTAAACGTTTCTCTTTTTCCACCAACGTTTACTGACTTTCTTTGCTTGAATAGCCGTTGAGCAGCTGAGACGAGACTGGGGTGGCGGTAATGCGCCACTAGAAAATTCTAGTGCCCTGGGATTGCACAGCGAAAACGGACATGTTAAGCAACTGGCATTATCTAGCACTGATACAGACGGGTACTTCAAGCAAAGTGGTTCCAGTAACATTCCTATGCTACCCACCGAAACTGGAGGTGCAATGGCTTTTTCTGCTACGGACGCCACGAGCGGCGACGCAGACCAGGATTTCAAAGCTCTTCATCACCCTAGCGTTACCCGCTCTGCCACTCCCGATAGTTTCGTGCGTGAGGGTGAGAAATGCATCCTAAAATGCCCAAACTTTCATGGAGCTGTTAGTTCCGATGATGGGGCCGACTTGAAATCGCATTATCCATTTGGATTCAGAGTAATGAGCAAGCAAGGATGGTGGGGCCAGAATGGCCTAGGTCCTGACGGGTCTGGCATCCAACGACCTCTTGATGCAAATAACTTGAGCTACACCTACGGACAACATGGGTCTCCTTCTGGGCTGGGATATGAAGGCCGGATCAACGGTAAATTGACTATGCTTGAAGAGGAGAAGCTGCCTAGTCCGCACACTAACGGAGCAAAAGCATGGCAATCGTATGTGGCAGATCCTCGTACTGGAGACGAGAGGGCCATATCGAACAGCAAATGCGACACGGCCAAAGTCGTCTGCCAAAATATGGCGGAAAATGTGGCCCCTCCAAAGGGGAACACCAAAATCGTTTTCCAAGATCAAAGCATCATCACCGATACTTGGAAGAAGCCTTCGAGTTCCCCAAGAGCCTCTCAGGCTCAGAAGAATGTACGGCAAAGGATTTCGGGAAAGATCGATCCTGATGATTTTGTGGTTTACACCGACAACTCCCAGGGCTAGTAGCCTTGCGTTGTTCAGCCCCTCAAAAATTAGCAACAGAAAAGGTCTTCAAAATAGTGTGGACAATAACGAGGACTTTCACAGTAGTTGCTTTGCGATCTGACCTTAGACGATTGTGGCCGTAGGGAGTCGGCAAGCGAGATTATAGACTACTCTCTGTTTCTGAATTTTTCGGCCGCTGGTGAACGTACAGGGCAATAGACGTGAATCCTGGAACTGTTGGTAGCTCTTAGTGAAGCACCCGTTGCTAGCGCTCCGCACAAGCAAAGTAATATTTGACTTGACTTGCAAGTAACTTGACTAATTAAAACAAAATAAAAAATAAAAAATTATTTGGATTATTTGTTAAACTAAATAAATAATTATTATTTAAGCCAATTACTTGTAAATAATTTTAAGTAATTTTTTATATTTTTTTTTATTTTTTTACAAGGGTTTTTTAATAAAAAAAAGTTAAGGCTATATTAATAAAAACTTTTAATTTATTATTTACTTTTATATATTTACTTTTATTTACTTACTTTTATTATTTTTATTTACTTATTTTTATTACCTTTATTTACTTACTTATATTACCTTTATTTATTTACTTTTATTACTTTTATTTATTTATTTTTATTACTTTTATTTATTTACTTATATTACTTTTATTTACTTACTTTTATTACTTTTATTTACTTACTTTTATTTCTTTAAGCCTTTTTACCTTAAGCCCTTGCCTATTTATTTTTATATTTAAAATTAACTAACTTTGCTAGCTATTTTTAACGCTTTAATTTAATCTATTTATAGCCTTTAGATTTATATTTAACGCGGTTAAATCTCTTGATTAATATTACTTTTAGCTTAGCGCTAACGTTTTTAACTAGATTTTGCGGCCGCAAAAGGCAAAAAGCTTTAACTTTTTAACCTTTTTGCTTTTAGGTTTTCTAGCACTATTTATATTTATATTTTATTTAAACTACTGCTACATTATAGTTTTAGCTATAAAAATGCGATATTTGCAGTTAGTATATTTTTAGCTTTTTAATTATTTATTTTTTAACTAAACTAAAATAAGTAAAATAGCTTTTAAAATTATTTGACTTATATGTTTAGCAAATACTTAGGCTAAATCAAGTATAGAAACCAGCCAAGTCAGTTAAATATACCGAAATCAAGGCTCAAGTTAGTTAAAGTCAGTCATGAGGGCTTTATTTGACTTGTTTTGCTTGTGCGGAGCGCTGCCCGTTGCTAATAATGTATCTAAAATGAGATATCAATCAGATTGAGCTATCCGCCACGTATCTGGGATAATAATAATACGATGGATAATTCTAAATCTATCTCTAAATTCCCCAGGCGTTATTCTATATGTATTATCAACTATGCTCCTTTGATCCCCCGATCTATTAATTATAAGTAAGCTGAGTAGTAAGTTACCACCCTACCCCCCCTATTCCTTTCGTTGCTCCGTTTGAAGTTTGGCCTTTGCAGCTTCCACTCTCCACTTGCCGCCAAACCGCCATTGTATTGCCAGACCCAGCAAAGCGACAAGCTGTACGGCCACCGCAATAGTAAATGTCCACCCTACGCCCACTGCGTCGATGATAGGTGTCACGATGCTAGTGCCCCCAGCCGCGAGAAGGCATCTCGCAAAGTTCACGCTTGCGCTCGACGCTGCCTTGTGCTCCGGGAACACGTCTATTAGGTATGTCGTGATGATTGAGACTATCGAAACCACTGTCCAGCCTGTAATAAAAGTGGTTACAATGGGAACAGCAATGTGGACGCGATACCGGATAGTCCAGCCAAAGGTGAGGATGGATGCGCACTGGAGTAGAGCGAGAATTGGGAGGAGACGGAACCGGGCCGTCTCTAGAGGAAAGTTAACATCCTCGTACTGTGACTGCTCCGTTTCTGTTTCCGTTTCTGATCCGCTTTGGGATACGGTGCCTTCATGCTTGATTTTGACACGTCTGTAGTCTATATCTAGTATCCTGCCGGTGACAAGGGTGCCACTAATTGACCCGGCGCCGTTCGCGATGAAAGTCAAGCCAATCTGCGTCTCGCTAAGGCCGTAAATGTCGGCAAAAAGTACCGACACCGCCGTGATGCTCATTTGCCAAACTGCGTAATACAGGGCGATAAAGATAACCACTGGTGCCGCTTGCTTGCTGAAGAGTATGCGA